TTCTCCCATATTATTTTAACTTATAAGCTTCTTACATCAAAGTTAGTACATGTTGTTGCTCAACCAGCTATCGACGTACAACCTCAATCCTCATATAACTCATGGAAAACATCAAATAATGTACAAACTTCTCACATGGGTGGGCGCCTAATCTCTAAACAAAATAAGAAAAAAAAACTAGAATTGGTCATACCCACCTGTTTTTACTTTTCCAACAAACAATTTCACATAACTCCCCAACTATCATTGATCAATTTTCAACTTTATTATAGGTAATTATGGTTGGTTTTGTACTAACGATAGTATAGAGTTATGGTGTTATGTTATGGGGTATGTAGAACCATTGAGGGCACTATGTTTACCCGATCTCTCGGTGTGAAAGCAAGAGAAAGGTAGGAGCCAACGTACAAGGCCCCGAATTCCATCGCTGGTGAAAGAGATTTTTAATAGCCTATGTATAAGACTGGTTGATTTTTCTTGTTTTAGTTTATTGATGACTATGTTACTATTGTTTTAAAATGGTACATAATTTAATTTATGTAGATGGGTACCGTGAATTAAGATTGCAAGCTAAAAATTTGTCTCATGTCACTTTACGTTAAAATGTAAATATTGTATTAGAAGAATTATATAAAAAACCCTTTGAATAAAGCTGAATATAACAATATTATGTTAAATCAGTAAATATCTACCTACTCGAACTAAAAACCCGTATTTAAATAGCAAAAATGACTATAAGAGTTTTATTTTTGGGACTATATATTTTATTATGTATATTTTCTTTGTACAATCAGAGAATATTATTAACTAGCAACCCGCCCCGGCTTTTATAAATTAAACCCTAAGAATAGGTAACACTATCTATTAAAAAAACCGTATCAAAATCCGTTGCGTAGTTTTAAAGATCTAAGCATACATAGGGACAGACAGATGGCGGATAGCGACTTTGTTTTATACTATGTAGTGATATTACTTGAAAACTATGAAAATACTTACGAAAGCTGATAAATAAATACCTCTAAGTCACTGTTAATGTTGAAATCAACTTGATCTAAGTATAAAGTAATAATAAATGTTCCTACCTGGAACCTATTCAGGATCAATAGGAAATCTTATTTTATTGTACTGCATTTAAACTTCGTAACTATTGTATTATCAAAGGCGTAGTCTCAACTTACGGAAGAGATTTTATAATTTTCATATTATATATAGTTGAAAATCAATTGATAATAATGTTTCCAACAAAAAAAATGTTAGTAAGATCTTTTCTGTGATATAAAGTTGGCAGAGATTATCACTTATTATTTAGAAATATAATTTTATTTTGGATATCGATCTGAATACCTACTACTACTTCTTAAAAGGTGTAGATTTTTAAAGGATAATGAGTAATAATTTTCATATCTAAGTTTCAAATGAGGGAATAATTGTCATTGAATTTGACAAGGTTGTATATTTCCTACAATATTTTAAGCGAATAGTAAATGTTGCTGATTTATGGAGGCTATAATCAACTCACACATTAATGAACTTTCGAAACTATAAAAATAGCAATAATAAACAATTTAGTACAGATAATATTGTTGTTTATATCAAAATTAAGAGACAACAGTATGTTAGCTATTTCTTACTTTTACTACAAATAACTATCTAGTAGAACTTTGTACAATATCGTGTTTAATTTATTGTAACTTACAATTGTAATTATTAATGAGAAAACGGAACAAAATACAACAAAAATGTAGGCAAGTGAAAGTGTCACGCACACACTGACATTGTGCGTCTGTAGTGGTGGAGAAAGTTAGCCGTCTACATAATAGAGATTGCGAAGGGAATGGAGACGAACTGTGTTATTATTATTTAGAGAAATACTGTTTTTTAAGTTTAAAAGAAAATTTAGAAGATGGGGCAACTTAGTTACATGTCTTATTACTTTTATATATAAATTTAATTTCATAATAAAATGAAAATGATTTGTGTTCAGTGAAAGTGTGAGACTGATTGGTTGATTTTGGTTATATTAACATTAGGAAATACATTATTTTAAATGATTCTGTAACAAATTTCTTTAGGTGCTTCTATTACATTTTGAGATGACATACCTAAAATATTACTACTGGTAATAAGGTGAAATAAAATCGACGAACTCAGTTACAAAAGTATTTTTACACAAAATAATACTAATGAAATCTAGCCTACAATGTAATTTCATTGGCTGAAAACATTACTAGTTTTCTTCCAGAAAAAGTATAATCAAATATCGTCTCCAAACATTTCTCTATTCAATAATTTTCACGGCAATGTGTGTGAGTGAAAGGCGTGTACATACACGTCTGTACCCACGCACAGCTGTGCATGTGTGAGTGAAGATGGCATGTTGTTTTTTTAACATTCTATCTATATTGAAAACTAGTATAAAAGTGGACCCGTCCGTTTGTACGGCTTAGTTTCTAAATAGCCGGAGATGGGAGAATGTCTGTTGATTATGATTTTCAGGAAATATTTTTGTAAGGGACATTATTTTTTATCTTTAGATAAATTCATTAATGTTTTGACATAGTACATATTGTTTTAGTAATGTTCATGTTATCATATCATACGTTAGCTATACCTATGTTAGGTTTTGGAGGTATTATTACCTACTAACCTATCATTAATGATATACTTGATACACTACGTATATATGCATCTATTTTTCTTAAAATTATTTGTAATAGTATAGTTTTTTAATATCAACTGTATTTATACTATTACATAACTTAACTCGTCGAGTACCGTCATTATAGACACAATTATAGAACAATAGGTTGCGGTCACCGGTGACCGCTTGGTGTTTGACAGTTTAAATGATGATACAAACCATTAAAAACATAAAAGGTATTATTGTTTAGTAATATTATTAGTTTTTTTTTTCGATGAATACCTACTGGTAGAAGTTTTTTATTTTATTTCAAAGGAGAAAATCATTCAACGACTTTTCGTACCTAGGTGAGGCGAGAGGGAGTGTGAGACTCTTACTGACTAAGAACCACCTCATTCCTGCTCCTGTAGTTCGAGCCAGAGCCCCTGCAACCTTTTAAGTTCTCCGCAGCACTAGTAGAGGATATCGTGTCGCTAGTATGATATCGGTGATAGTGGTGCATTGAGTTATTTTACGTAGCTACCTTATTCTTATTATCGCATATTTTGTATTCTAAAACTTTAGTACTAATTGTTCAGTCATAGCCATAAGATTATTTTATTATTCAGGCGAGGGACACCTCCTATTATTATTATCCTGTAATATGTAGGTACTTGAGGTCCAGATGAAGCCGATTGATTTAGTAGTTTTGACTTTATAAATAGGTTTAATGATTCTTATATAATTATATTACTATTAATTATATCATTATCTAACGATAAATAATAAATAAATAAAAATAGCATAAAAGAACAAGTTACTTGTACTTTAGTTACACAAAGTTGCCAAGAGATGGCGTTGGCTGTGTCATTCAGGCACAATTGTAGAATATTACGCATCGTTGACTTCCCGACCGTTACTTGGTTCTGAATTCGTGAGACTGGGTTATAAAAGAGGAGCAATAACTATAGAATTTTCGTATAAAACAAATGATGGCAAAGGGATTTTGATTTGAATTTATTCTCACCTTTAAACCACTATGGACTAGTAAAAACTGTAGTGTTTGTCTACGGTTCAGGTTCGGTATCAGAACTGATAGTCTTAACATATCTACCTACTTAAATAGCATTTCATCAACGTAGGAGAATTAAGAGAAAAAAGAGATTTGTATTGTAAACCCGATTGAAAAAGAGTAACCTATGGAGTTTCTTGCTCGTTCTTCTCCATAGGAATCAAAATCTTGGAATGAGCAACTAGCTTCACTTCTAAATTTTTTTTTGTTGTTGACGTTCAAAGGTGCCTTCCTGGTCTAATTGAAATAAATGACTTTGACTTTGACTTAGTTTTGATCAGTCATGGGTCGACGATGAGAGTGAGTTTATTATTGTACCGTGTATCAATTAAAAAAGATAGGTAACTAGTGGTATTTTGTTAAACCTTGAAATCAAATACCAGATCTGGCTGGGCTCTCGCACTAGTAGCTAAATAATCAATCAGTAAGTCGGTAGTAGTAATATTTCTAAATTGCAATTCAATACATTGATTATTATATTTTTTGCTTACTCACGTAACTCTTTGACAAGAAACTCGACTAGTTTCAAGGCTGTGTGTGTATGTCAGAGGCTCGTATTCATGTGCAATATTCTGCGACCCGCGACACGGTGACTTTCACGCTGCTACTGGCATCGGTTGAAACTAGTCGAGTTCCTCCTCAAATATTTACGTGAGTAAGCCGAAAACGTAATACCTAATTAAATATAGTTATACTTAAACTGTCAAACACCAAGCGGTCACCGGTGACCGCAACCTATTGTTCTATAATTGTGTCTACAAAACCGGTACTCGACGAGTTAAAGTTATAATAAAATATATATTTCAATAAAAATCATTTTATTTTATTTCTTACAAATACTTGTACAGTCTTATTATTGAATAATACATTATTTTATTACAAAGTTTAGTTATGACACACAAACCCGTAATAATTAGCTATTAAACTAGGTAAATAAATATAAAAATCTTGAGCCTATCCGGCGATTTTTACAAAATGAAATTGCAATTAAAAAGAAATATTTTTTTCATCTCACCCTGTGGTATCCAAGCTTGTTTTATTATTTGTACATTTTTTTAAATTTAATTTTTATATTAATTCAATAAAAATACATTTATTCAAATAAATTAATACAATATTCAAAAATTTAAACAAATTACGCACCATTGAATTCAGCATGTTAAATAATAATAATTTAAAGCTTACATACGCACCTTTATATTAATTTAATATTCTTAAAATTAATAGTTTATCAATACGTTTTAAATATTTCCTTAAAAAATAACAAGATCATTGGAAATCTGTACTTATTTTTGAAATTATACAAAAATCATGACTTATAACCTATTTTGTTGAAATTGAAATATGATATAGAAATATTATTATGGAATGCTACTATTTATGAGTGATTTGATCAAAATAATTATAAAATAAATAATTAAAGTATAGCCTGACCTATAATTATTTTGACCAACATGTAAAATATGTACTACAAAAATTATCTAGTTTTTCAGGCTTAAATTTAGGTTTTATGAGCTGATCTGAGACTTGTAAGCTAAATCGTTGGCATCATTCGCGATGTTTGAAGATCTGGCGTAGGGGTAGGTGGCTGCTGATGCTGTAGGAGATGTCCATTGCTGAGATGACTGGAAACCAGCAAGCTGAGGAAGAAAGTGATGGTTAATATCTCTTTAGTTTAGCCTGTAGGTAGTCCACTGCTGGACCAGCAGTTTTAGGTTTATCAGAGAAAACTGCTACCTGATCTTTGTCCATATGTATCTACTTGCGTAATCGACTCATATAATCAGGGGTTGAGTAAAGATGGTGATAAATGTAGACTCTATGTCGACTGTTTTTAAGGCTTGAAGACTTACACTTGACTTTTTACACAATAGTAGAAACGTAGTTACACATTTTTAAACTTGATAGCAAACATAAGGTTCCAAATAAATTATTATGTTTTCGGTATACTCATGTAGTAATTTGACGAGGAACTCGACTAGTTTCAAGCCATGCTAGAGGCTCATATTCATGACACGCGGCGACTGTCGCGCTGCTACTCTGTCGCCGCGTCACGGGTCGCGAAATGCTACTCATGAATATGAGCCTTTAGCAGGGCTTGAAACTAGTCGAGTTCCTCGTCAAATCATTACGTGAGTAAGCCGAAAACATAATAATTTATTTAGTATGTCTCACGAAAGTTGCAATACAAATAACATAAGGTTCTGATTTAGAAAATAATTAAAAATAAATTGACAGTGGCGAATAAATTGCCGTACCTGAGAGTCGAACTCGAGATCATTCTGCAATCACCACATGCAACCATAAGACACGCGATTTTATCAGAATTTCATATATTTTTCTCTTTAAGAAGAAATAATTAAACCTTTAGAAAGAACACTGAATTATACCTTGCCACTAATATTGTTCAGTCCACCGCCACTCAGCAGTTTCTGGATTCCCAAAGCAGCAGCCACCACGAAGGCCAGTTTGGCAACCACCAGAGCCTTGGTCACCAGGAGTGTCAGACCTCCGAAGAGCAGACCAGCGACTGCTAAGACCTTGACTCCGATACCAGCTATGAGGGGCGTGTACTTCTTGATCTTGCCACGAGCTTGAAAGAAAATAATATTTAAATGATAGCTTTTGTTTAAGCTCATATAAAGTGACATAGCGACATTTTATTACCAAAGAGGTACTTATGCAGAGATGAACTTAACACAATGGTGCCATGTGCAATATAGTTACATATATTCTGAGTCCTATGTAATATAGAAGTGAGTTTATTGTCATATATTTTTTTTTAAGGAGGGAATATCATCGAATGACTGCTCCCGCCTGGGTGAGGCGGGAAGGAGTGTCAGACTCTTACTGACTAAAAACCACCTCATTCCTTCTTCTGCACATCGAGCCGATTACCACGTACCAGGCACTATTCAAGTCTCTGCGCTACTACTGAGATTTTTTAAAAACCCAGTAATACTTAGCAGGCCGTCGATTATTTAAGATAACCAACAACATCTAAAACAACAACATAGATAAAAAGCGTATTATAATAAGTATAATTTATTTAGTATCGTGCCAACCCTATCCATTACGATAGCGTAACCTTGACCACGCGGCCACTCTCACGCGTAACAGCTGTAACAGTTCATTCACACACTATCATACTAATAATTATATTATGATACTTCCATTACTATCACATTTCTTTTTATATAGTATTGTTATATTCTTTATAAACGCTATCTTCATACTTCTGTAACATTTTTTCAGTTAAAGTTTTTAGGTCTATCGATTTGTTGAAATGTTAATAACACAAATTCATTACGCTTTTTATCTCCGAAGGGGTACGCAGAGGTTTACATTACATCACTTAATGCCACTGTACAATGTACCACCCACTTTTCACTATTTATGTCAATATGTCAATAATATACATAAAATCATCTTTACCTCTTTCATTATATACGACGGTAAGAGATACGAGACTGAGAAAATAACAGTGACAGTTATTATCTTTTGTTCATAGATTTTGAAAAGAACTTTGCAAAGTAACATAGGTACCATTAACACTTTCAGTGTCATTGCCATTTTAGTACCTAAAATAATTAATTAAAGTATAATTTCCAATCCCTTCCTTGTAATGTCATGGTAGCCCAGGTTTAAGGCAGTGGGGGATCATACACGAGAGTGTGGATTCGAAACCAACCAACGACAAGTACCAATATGACTTATTCCGAGTTGCATGTACTTTCTAAGATTATTTAGACACCACTGACTAACGGTGAAGGAAAACATCGTGAGAAAAGTGAGGCTTATAATTTATAATTATAAGTTTGAAATCGCCAACCCGCATTGAGCAAGCGTGGTGGTCAAAGCTCAAACCTTGTCCTTGTGAAAAGAGACTTTTGGTCAGCAGTGGCCACTTATAGGCTGTTGATGATGATGATAATGACCGATATCATCATTTGGTTTTATTTATTTCTCGATCTAGGCTTGTAGGCTTCATGGAGATTCGGACTCGTAACCTTGACCACTGCGCTCACGTAATAGTTCATTGACCCGCACGACTACTTTCATTTCTTTCTCTACTAAGAGATGTGTGTTTTATTATGACTATAAAAACAATGCTTCGTTGGCCGAGTGGCAAGTGCAACTGCTGGCCAAGAGGTTCTCGGATTCGATTCCAGGGCCAGGCAAAGTATTACTGGGTTTGTTTAAAAAAAATCAGAGTCTGGAATTGTGCTCGGTACATGGCAATAGGCTCACCGACTATTATACGGGACTGATAATATAAATAGTGAAAAGTGGGTGTTACATCCTATAGTGACACTAAGTCCCGTAATGTGCACCTCTGCCTATCCCTTCGGGGATAATTTGGATTGAAAAGTCTAGAATTTAGTAATTACATGTAAAACAAAAGTGACTATTGAAATAATTAAATGTAAAAAAAAATTAATAATGGCGACACCGTCCTTAACCAGATCATATTTTGATTATTTACATAAAAAAATACTAAATACAGCATTGTATATACCTTCTTCGAATGTCCTGGCAGCTTCCCTCAGTTCACCAGGTTCGAACTTGACGTTTAACTTTTCCTCTCCAGCTGCATCTCTGTAAATAAAATACAAAATATGACATATTTTGATCCATCATCAAGAGACCGTGAAGTGAACTGATGGACTAATAGACTTCGTTTAAATAACCTTCTATTACAATAATGCTATTACTACAAATCTTCCGAAAAGCTTGAAGTCTTTTGAAAAGCTTGACTGATATTTTTTTATGAAATACGCCAATAAACGAGCAGACGGATCACCTGATGGTAAGCAATCGGCGCCACTACACACTAGAGCCGTTACAAGTGCGTTACTGGCCTTTTGTTTGGTACTTAGGGATTTGAGGATTGTTGACGATTCAGGGATTGGGAAGCTTGAAGAGAGGAGTAATTTGGCTCTCACACGACGAAACACAACGCAAGTGTTGTTTCACGTCGGTATTCTGTGAGGCCGTGGTATCAGTCCGGTCGAGCCGGCCCATTCGTGCCGAAGCCTGGCTAATTTCAGTTTGTGTTTAATTTTTATATTAAACTAATAACTACGTAATTTTAAAAAAAGCTTATTATTTTTTTCTTAATATAATAAACTGTTTCCAGATTATCAACTACAAACTACAGTAAGTTTATGAATTTCGTTCTGGTGAGTGGGTGACATTATTCGCATTAACAACATTATATTTGTATCGAATCATTCGATCTACGGAATCGAAGACGAATTACTTGTTTGTATTTCACACTGATTTCATGGAATGAAGCTGTTGTTATAAAGAAACAGTTATTCATTACAAGTCAAATAGAAAAATATTTTATGGATCAAATACTTAAATATTAGAATTCAATTCACACCACACCACAATACTTCTACCACCCATACACTAAGTCAAAGTTAAAATCATTTATTTCAATTAGACCAGAAGGGCACTTTTGAATGTCAACAAAAAAAGTGAAGCTATTTGCTCATTCCAAGGTGTTTTTTTTTTAAAAAACGGTGCCCCACATTAGAATTTTCCCCTGTGTCGTGGGTGCGTTTACAAACATACAAGTTCACATACACAATGACACCCAGACCCAAAACAACAATTTGTGAATCACACAAAGTGTTGTTCCGTGCGGGAATCGAACCCGCGACACGTTGCACGGCAGCCGGTTGCCCAGCCACCGCACCAACCGTGGAGTCTAAAATGTAGATTGCAGGTGTAGATTCCTATGGAGAAGAACGAGCAAGAAACTCCATAGGTTACTATTTTTCAATCAGGTTCACAATACAATTCTCTAGTCAAGTCTAAGCTTCTTCTGTGTCCATTTGTTTAGTCATATAAAAGCAGAGGCAAGGAATAAAAAGCGCTCATGAATATGAGCCTTGAAACTAGTCGAGTTACTCGTTAATATATTCACGTGAGTAAGCCGAAAACATAATAATCAATTTAGTATGTCTTACGAAATTTATAATATAAAGATTAAAGAGAAGACTGCTCCGGTGGCCGAGCAAGGGGCCTCTAGTTCGATACCCGAGTCGGGCAAAGTATTAGATACTTTAAGAAAAATGTCAGTTGTAGCACGGAGTTTTGAATGTGTCCGGTATATGGTAATAGACTCACCCCCTATTACATGAGAATCATAAAATAAATAGTGAAAAGTGGGTGTTACATTGTACAATGACATTAAATGCCCTAATATGCTCCTCTGCCTACCCCTTCGGGGATAAACGGCGTGATGTTGTGTTATGATTCAAAGTTTTAACTATTTCATAGATAACGACCCACGGGGATTAACACTCAACCAATGAATCATAATCGCCTATTTCAAAGTAATGAACAAAAGACAACAAAATGATAATCTTACAGCAAGTCATACAAATCAGAGATTACCCCGCCCCTCATCCATTCAATACAACCACATTTACATACAAATACTTTCACTGTATTGTTTATGTATTATATGATTTCACTTTTAATGTCATGTAATATAACAAATCATCACGCCTTTTATTCCTTATACACAACACTAGCTTCTGCGGTGCGGGTTTGCTCGCCTTCCCGTGAGGTATAAAGAAACATTTGTTTTTTTTTTATTTTTTTTTATGACACATGCCTGCCGGTGAACGAGCAGACGGATCACCTGTTGGTAAGCAATCGGCGTCGCCCATGGACACCTGGAACACCAGAAGCGTTACAAGTGCGTTACTGGCCTTTTGGGGATTAGGAGTTTGAGGATTGTTCGAGATTCAGGGATTGGGGTAAGTCAGTATGAGGGGTAATTGGGCCTCCGGTAACCTCACTCCCACGTCGAAACACAACGCAAGGGTTGGTCTCTTCATGTTTTTGCTCAGCAGTGTTATCACTCCGGTCGAGCCGGTCCATTCGTGCCGAAGTATGGCTCTCTCATACTTATTAAGGCAAACAATAAAATCAATCGTAATAGATAACATAACTTTACGATTTTTTATACACAGTCTATTGCGCCAGTTAATCATGAGTAATTTCAGAGTAATTAACTCCAAAAATCATTAGAGAGCACTGAACATTGCAACTAACTGAGTACTACTCATTACACCAGTCTCCGACTTCTTTTCTAAACAACATTGTGATGTAAATAAGTGGAACACCTGTAACGTGTATATTATACAGTTACAGTTCACTTATGAAATAACTTGGTGTTTAACAAGACATATTTTCTAATTTATGCGCTAAATATCCATGGCTAAAGTGTATTTTAGAGTGATAATAAGGATCTGCAAGATGACAGCTAGTGATTGTCTGTGAAGGTTTGTAGGATGAAAATTAAGCTCAGGATGATGTGAACTAATGGGGTGCTCATGTCTTAAACTGCTCTGTTGACATTATGCAATACATTTTAGTACATGTTGATAACTTAAATCATCATTTGTATGGAGAGCCATGCTTCAGCACAAATGGGCCGACTCGACCGGACTGATACCACGGCCTCACAGAAAACCGACGTGAAACAACACTCACGTTGTGTTTTGTTTTGTGAGTGATGTTACTGGAGGCCCAATTCCCCTCTTCTCCAAACTCCCCAATCCAGGGATTCAGGAATCCCCAACAATCCTTAAATTCTTATTCCCAAAAGGCCGGTAATGCACTTGTAATGCGTTTGGTGTTTTAGGTGTGATGAGTGATATCGATTGCTTACCATCAGGTGATCCGTTAGCTCATTTACGGGCTTATACCATAAAAAAACTCTGCTTCTTTCGCATAAAAAATTAGATTTTATGTCATAGGTATGTACAACTGCAATATGTCAAGCCACGAAAAATATAAAAATAATATCAGAGCTTGTTCTTGTTAAAAAATAATGTAGGTACACACGGCCACACATCAATCTATACAAAACCAGTTTATCCTGGTGTCGCGTCGCATCATCTTCCCGCACATTTAAAGTTCAGTTTATACTGGTATGTTAAGTTAAAACTAATCCTAGAACATGTTAAACATACATAGTTTCAAAGTAAACAAAGAGGAGTTGTTTTTGAAACGTTTTGCTACTCAACTGCGCATGACAAAATGTGGTTGTTCCCTATTTTAAGTGAATTAGCATTGGACCCATTGTTTTAAAATTTTCTGTTTAGAATACATTGGAAAGTTGAAATGTTTTTAGGGCCGGTAATAGCTTTGACACTTGTTGGACTCTTAACAAACTAGTTAAAAGTGTTACAATTTTAGGTCCATGTTTATATGTGGATTTTTCGCAATGTGTCCACCTGTCTATTTATTTGGGAACCTAATAGTTTATCTTTTAAATGGTATCCTATAATGATAATTGTAGACCACATTATTATTTAAAACTATCATGAAGTTCATCGCACATTCGAACCGATAAAACTATGTAACTAGAGAATTGTATTATGAACCTGATTGGAAAAGAGTAAACTATGGAGTTTCTTGCTCGTCCTTCTCCACAGGAATCTACACCTTGGAATAAGTAAATAGCTTCAATTTTATTTTATTATTCCTAACGTTCAAAAGTGCCTTCCTGGTCTAATTGAGGTAAATAAATGATTTTGACTTAGAAATCACGACATCGAGTTTTAGTATACAACTCAAAATGTAACCTCCCAGCCCCGGAACCTTATTTATTTATCAAATAACAATTCTGTATTTATTTAACGATATCTGCTTTGATAACATGTTTAAAATAGAATTTCTTGTGAAATGTAAACTTTTTAATTACATAAAGCGATGTAAAATAGTTATTAAAACTAAGTAATGTTTTCTATTCTAAAACAAATGTTTTAATACTTAAGCGATCCTCCATTTTATCTTCAGAAAATTGTACTCAAAAATTTTCCGACCACCCCTTATTATTACCACCACTAAAACCAAATAAAAACAAGCACTTACTTTTCAATAGCTACTCCGGAGAACAGCTCGATTTTTCCATCTTCCTCGTTCGAAGCACCTGGAGCAGCACTGCAGGCTACCACAGCCACAATCAGAAATAAGCACAGCACACGCATTTTGGAAAAATATATTTTTTTTAATTTTTTGGTTCAAGCTCTTGGCTTCTATAGTCCTGAGTGGACGGTGGTCTAGGATCAAGTGAGATGCGTCCGGGATGCCGCCCGCCTTTTATATTCTACCTTAGGAGCACAATAAGGATGACTGTTACGGAATACTGTGTAGTGCGGCGAGATGATCTTGGTATTTGGTAAGGAAAATTTGGGAACTTTTACTGTAGGATGAAGAAATAATATGGTACATTTTGTAGTTTTGTCAGTATAGTGTATTGACATAATTAAACTTGATGTTCTTATTTCATTTTCTTTTCAAAGTGAATTTCGAGTTCAAGTAATGATGTCATAACTTGAACAGCTACTTATTTAAGTAAATGTATTTGTACCTTTAAGTAGGTATTTCAATAGTAATCTGAAACATCTTTTATTTTAAATGTTTTTATTGAACTTCAACATATATTTTAAGATTTTTGATACTATTCAAATTATAGTTTCTTCAAATAAACAAAGATAATTGGATCGTCTCAAATAAAAACACAAGTATCAAGACTATCAACACGTGTTGACTTCACTCATATTTTAACATGCGCACACGTCGTTTTGTCAACAAGCGTTAAACAAAAACAGATATGTTTTACCACGGTAGCATTAGAAACTGAAAAATGGAAATTGCATAACATTGTAGACAAAGTTGTCTTAAAAAATAAATATTACAGGGAACGGGAATTCTACTCTAAACAAGGCAATAGAAAAAGTAATATTTTCATAAACAATTGAACTTAATTTGATCAAACTTATTACTACAACAGCTGGTTAGTCATCAAATTCTAATATTATCAAGAAAATTTGGTGAAATTATATTTTTTCCTAATATTTGTAAACTAGCTACTTCCACGCGGCTTCACCCACTTTACAGCTTTTTTTATTTCATAGCCTTATCAGGCCTTGCTTGATAAATGTACTATCGAACACAAAAATAATTCAAATTCAACCAGTATTTACGAAGAGTTCCGGAGATAGTGTCAATAGACTAAAATTAAAATATAAAAAAAAAATGTAGATTAGGGGATAACTCTTTAATACATTTATTAGAAGTCCATATATCCAAAAATAAACCCCCCAATTTCTACAACGGGACTGTGTATCCATTACAAGAGAAATCATTTCAGTTGGCAATGCAAACGTTTATTGTTGCATTCTTAACCAATTTGCTGTCAAATTTCACTTTCTTAAGGATATTTACTGAATCCGCATCCTATGGTATATGACGCCATGGTCTTACGCAATGTTTAAGTCAAGCTTTTATGTTCTTTGAAGTTTACTAGGAAGAATGTTTTAGTGCGAGTCCGAGTGCTGAGTCAGTTTTGTTTGTGGGTAATGTAAATTAGGTATGAGTTGTTATATTATATAATATTATATACTGGATGGATATATTATATACTATATATTATTATGGACTGGATACATTTCATGCATCTCAGTCAGGCTTGAAACTTTGAAAGAATGTTATAGTTTACAAATGAATTATTTCGAGTAGAGTTAGAGCTCAAACTGTTGTGGTTCTTTCCTCAAAAGGCCACTACAGAAAGAACTTGCACGGTTCTCACACATAATCTTTGATACACATTTGTCTGGACTTTAAAAGAGACAGACCTCTGAGTTTGTTTCGGCATTTCTTCTCAGAGTAGTCAGTTAGGAAATGTCGACCTCATCGTTAGCTTGATAAAATTGACGTGTAAAAGTGCTGCCTTGTAGCCTATTTGCAGAAATAAATCACTTGTTTCACTTGTTACGTAGGTACTTTTTATCACATTTATAACCTTCAGTTAAGTTAAGATCTAGACTAGGCTTCTTAGGTTTAGAAGTATCCTTACTATAGAGGAGCAAATTATTAACTTTATGCATGCTTGGTATGCTTTTATTTCTATATATAACAACATGAACAAAGAAAGAAAGAAAAAACTTTATTTTACACTCGAAAAATAAGTGAAAAGTACAGAATATTGCTGGTTTATTAGTATGGTACAGATAGATACATTGTTCATCTCCCAAGTCTGCGGTAAAATGCGGCCAGTTCAGCATATGCAAGACAGGGCCTTGAGCTGGTATTCTACTCGCCTTTAAGTGACAATGAATATAAAACCAATTCAGTAGTTTTCTTCAGGCCAAAGTATTTTTTTTTTTAATTTAATCGCGTAAAACAGTACATTATATCATGACAACAAAAACGTATCCAAGATATTTCCTAATATCTTAGAATAAGAAACTCTATCTCCCGTCGTAATCTCGGAAACAGGTCAAGGTTGCTACCGGAGACTTTCTCCAAGCGCTATTGGTAAGTCCCTTTAAGTTTGAGCGCACACCATACTATTGGACTATATTATTGACGTAGATTTTAGTGTTGGACCTTTTTCTTAGGTTTTAAGACAAGATGCTGGATGTCTCTCATCCATTTTTATTATTTTATATAGCATAATAGTGTAATTAAAAAATAACTACTACGAATTATGACAAAATCATCACCACTCAGTGAAAAACTAATACTGTCAAACACAGTGCACAAGTAATTTCTTTTTATCAGAAGGAAAACTCTAATGTCGGAATACTGAAACATTACTCAATTTTAAGTCGCGCTTAAGTATAGTTCTGTCACCACTAATTCTTTGTAAAATGACAGAGATGGCACGATATTTAAGCACGACTTAAATTTGAGTAAAGTTTCAGTATTCCGCACGAAGTCTTATAATGCCATTATCACATTCGCACCATAGCACCAAGCATCATCATCAACAGCCTATAATGGCCACTGTTGAGCAAAGGTCTGTTCTTATACGGAAAAGGTTTGAGCATTAATCGCCATGTTTGCTCAATACGGGTTAATTTTAGCACCAACATTCTCAATCAATTAAATAAATTAATATAGACAAAAACACTCCCCACATATGCGCTGAGCGTTAGATCTGATGTCAGTTGCATCGGCTGCGCCCGCGCCGGCTCAAGGTCGCGACAATGAACTTGTATCGCTTACTTTCTATTTGTACTGAGCATAGTATATGCTGGGCGCTCAGATAAATTTGGTGAGAAGAAAAATGGTAAACGTCTTCACTGTCAGAGGAAACACTATACAAAATAATACTGGTAGTTTATTGTGCAACTTAGTAGGGCACATGTACGTTCTAGAACTGCGAGCGCTCAGTGACGTATGGGTAGCAATATTCTGTAAACTGAAATCTAATTTATAAGTCTTTCTTTATATGTTTACCTCTCTATTACGGCAGAATCCTGGTTTAACAGTTCAAGGCACATTTTTCTGACTATGTGTGTATATACTAATTGTTATTGAATACCATAAAAACATTTGTTTCCAAATTAATGTAGATATTAATGTCGAAATACTCAAAAGTCTCAATTTTAAGACGTGCTTAGCTATACACATTTGTATTTGTTGACGTTTAATTGAAATAAATACTTAGACTTTGACTTTGATAATATATATTTTTTTAAACGTAGCCCCTCTGTAGTGTTTTCCCCTGTATCGTGGGAGCGTTTACAAACATACAAGTTCACATACTCATGACACCCAGACTCGAAACAACAATGTGGATCACACAAAGAGTAATTCCGTGTGGGAATCGAACCCAATGCACGTTGTACGGGAGCCGGTTGCCCAACCACCACGTGAAAAAGTGACAGAGACCGTACGATATTTAAGTACTACTTAAAATTGAGTAGCTTTTCAGCATTCGGGGGTATCAGTACTCAACTTTGTAACGTATGAATCTCAAGAAGTTACAAGTTCATCTGAAACATCTCCATATACTACAAAACATGAGAAGCATTGGGTGAGTATTACGCAACGACCTGAGTGCGTTGGCACACTTTATGTGGTATTACAAGTATTATAACCGACCACGAGCTCAGCGGTCACTGTTATATCATGAGCCCCACAAATTATTATTTATTGCTCTTATTTTATATACTTATGTGAGTAGAAAGTTTGGGATTTGTTTAATTAGGTTTCGTGATTTGGGAGTGGAGGGTCAATTTAATGTTAGAAAGGATGTATTATCTAAAACAGGCCAGCATTAGAAATTATATTTATCTTCAGAGATTATGATTGTTATTGTGGAATAGGAGGCAAACGAGCAGACGGATCACCTGATGGTAAGCGATCAGCGCCACCCATGGACACCACAGGAGACACAGGTGCGTTGCCGGGCTTTTAAAAAGGAGTACGCTCTTTTCTTAAAGGTTTAAAGGTCATATCGGTTCGGAAATACCGCCGACGACAGATCATTCCACAGTTCTTCTGTGCGAGGCTGTAAACTACGAGATAAGAGCACAGTTGTGGCCTGCCAACCATCTACATGATGGGTATGCATAGATGATTGTTTGTTATAAAATATATATGACGATTATAAAGACTATATCCAGATGTAGTCTTGCAAATAGGCAGTCATAACATCACTTATGTTACTTATAAACAATTGAAACTGTTCTAAAAATAAGTCCTAATGAATTAAACAAACTTATATTTGTACAAACTTTTATTACTGTTTTATTTAATTTGTAAAGTACCTTACTGGTACACGCATTGATTTGGGTAAATAGGTAGTTATTAAACGCTGAAGTTGTAAGCGATAACGAAGGTAAGATTTCTAGTTACCTTCTTTGAAGTAAATTCCACATAAATTGAAAGAGATCCTCAGTGGCTTTTATAGGATCCAGACTGATTTTCAGAAGATAAAATGGCACACTATTAAAGAACTAGCATTATGGTATCACAGATGCAACAAAGCCAACACTGATCATTCGCAATATGTTCATCTACTGAATAGAACACCGATCTTGATAGAACTGGGCGCTAAATGGATTGTCCAAGGCCATAGTACTTTCTGCAATCTTATCCTTGACCTTATCAGACACAGTGTAGATTCCTCCAACGACTCTTCTAATTCCTTTATTTATGAAAATCTTTGGGTGATGTCTATGTAAAAATGCCTTCACCTTTCTATGTCTTATAACAATTTTTCGTTTAATTGGGTGTGGTCTGCTAAACACGGAGCGTTTCTTCTTCGGGAAAATACGCCTGGATCTCCTTTTCCCCATGATTTTAATCTTTGCTATGTCCGTGGTTTTATGGTCACATTTTTCTTCTGTATCTTTTTTGGTTTTTTGTGAAATTAAGAATGTTTGATGATTTTTTTATTATTCACATTCTGTTTGAGTATTTTTTTAGATGACAGGTTTGCTATTGTCACGTCATGAATGAAGTTTGTGTGCTTTTGTTTGTCTGCCAGTTTATTTTTATTGGTTTTTGTGTTGGAGTTAAATACTTTTTTGTTGTGTGTTATGTTATTACAGAAGGAAAAGAACTATTATGTGTGCCACGGCAACATTACTTATTGATTAGTTTAATATTGAAAAGTAAAACAATATTACATAAAATAATTTAATATAATTTATTTCGTCACACAAAACAATCTTTGGTTACATAAATTAAGTACTACAATCATAAATGCATTATTTAATAATGTTTAACACAGACTACAAGTTTTGAACGTTACTTAAAGATTAAAATTACAAACAAAAATAAAATTACGAATCACAAAAATTTGTCAATATACAATCAAATTGAAAGCAATCACGAAGACAATATAGTCTAATTAAGTATAATTTATAAATCTATTAAATTAATGATCTGATATACGACTCCTGCCTATTTCTTTCTCATCATAATCACAATCACCATCAATGCACCATCACTGGAACAGGAACATAATCCCCTCTTTTGTAATGCTCATCATAGTAAACATGGTCTTCACTCTTCGAAGGTACTTGGATGATTTCCACCTGAGTCTTGGTGTCATCCTTCCTATTCTGGTAGCTGTGGCTATGGTCAAACATACCTTTTAGGCTTAGAACTGAAGCCATTACAGTTGAGAAGAATCCCATCATGAGACCTGCAAGGAAGCCCTTGTATTGAAATTTTTGTTGTTGCAAACTGACAATTTTGTCTTCGGTTGTATTTGGGTACTTGCCAACTAGTCAAATTCAATATTTTTTTCGAAATGTTAAATACTACAGCTTTCCATGAATTTTGTACAAGATTGTATATTTTACGTTTATTTAATGTCAAATAATATGCTTATTTCTTAAAAATTTGCTGGAAAAATACTAAAATTAAGTTGGTCATAAAATCAATTAATGAATGTGTGATTATTTTTTAATATTTTGTGGTATTGAACAGTCGAATTAATTTATTTTGATTAAGGAAAGTACCCAATTAATGAATTTCGAGAGTCTGTAGTGATAGTTGAATGAGAGAGTGTCTGTTTCTAATTTGAAAGAAAAATTGTTGACTAGCTTTTACAGACAATTTTAACTGCGTAAATCCCCAACTATGTGCATAAAATTTCAATAAGATCGATTCATGTTTATAACCCCAAGAGGTCACAAACAAATATGTAAAATTACTTTAGCGTTTATAATAACAGTTGAGATTGTTCCAATTCTAAGTAATCATTCAATTTTAAACAGAATCCAATAATTCCTGAAGCCACCACAGCCTGTCCACGGCAAAAGTGTCTTAACCACATGGAATTCATAACATAGTTCGTGAAAACTTTGGATCATATCATTTTGCACCTTCCATTTTATAATCTCCAGAACAAAATACAGTCTTACCTTTAGCAGACAAGAATGCCAATGCCTTCAAAGCTATAGGAATCAACAGGCTCTTAGCAGCTAGAAGTCCAAGGATCAATGGCATCATATACTTCTTGTGCATCTTCGGAAACTTGTTGCCACCTCTTCTCTTCTTTGACGACTTCTTAAAGACCTTGAAGATACACTTCTGACCTTTAAGTTTTCCTTTACCACGTCGTTTCTTATTTGAATGTTTTTTGTTACCTTTCTTCTTCTTACCCTTTTTGTGTCTAGGTTCTACTTTTGGTTGGGTTTTGAGGTCTCTTGGTTCGGAATCTGTAACTGATGGAAAAAGAATTGAAAAAAGATATATGTATTAGCCTTGTCAGTAACCTAATGAGACTATTGGCTCGGTAGTCGCCCTAGCAATGCAAAGTGGAGCAATGTAAGAATGCTTTTCAAAATTAAATCTTGTGGCAACGGTAGAAGAGAATCATTTGTTGTTAGTGCCCCTATAAGTAAATATAAATGGTAGGTACGGCAGTGTTTGACTTCGCGCTCGACTTGGCAGGGGCACTGCCTTGTCTCCCAGATAAAGTACACTAGTAAATTATGCTTCATAGAGACTTTATCATAGATTATGATATCTAATCAACAACTAAATTAAGCAAATTTTTTAATGCTAAAGAATTGTATAAATGGATATACATATTACAGTAATTATTGATGCAAAACCTGATCGTGATATTTATTCCTTTATAGCAAAATTATTTTTGGACGCATTACCACCATGAAATACTGCCAATTAATAAAATAAAACATTACCTTGTAAGGATCTGGGTGCGAAGTTACTGTTCGCAATAATCCACTGCACTGGTTCAGTTGAATTGAAACCTCCGTCCACATAACCATCATGGCTGCTCGGAGCAAACCCGAACACCGTCTCCGTCTTCACAATACCATAATTACTGGTATTATCCAGAATCAACCCACGGGAGTAGGGCAGCATTTTTAACACTAGTATCTACCACTACGTCTTAAAGTTCAATGTTGCTTATTTTTACCATTTTTTGTTCTATGTTTGACATGCACTAATGAAGTGGTTGTTATGGAAGTTGTCACTGACTTTTATAGCGTCAAAATGGGAACATATGGTCTATGAAGCGTCACGTATTAATGACTCTTTGACGGCGTTTTTCTATTTAATTATGCGTTAATTTTAGTCTTAGGGAAAGCTTTGGCTAAGTGTCTAGTTTTCTTATTTTACTATTTTAGTTCCGTGAAACGAACACGATGTTGTTAAGTATGCATCTTTCTGCCGGGCTGTCTTAACTAATTTTGGTATCTACTGAGTCTTGAACAAATTCGATTAAATTTCAGTTGGTAGGTGCTTTACACTGGAGCAACTGCCATCTGTAGTCTGTTACCCCGAGTCTAAGCCAACCGTGCAACATGCTTTACCTGTCTAGTGTTTGTTTCTTAGCTGAAGTATCAAGAATCATATTTTGAAGGTTAGTAAAATTGTATATTTACAAAGATAGTTTGATTTGTGACTGGTACTCATAGACCCATAGTTCTGTTTCCATGGGTTCTATAACTCAATCGTTGCTCCAGCTAGTTCCTCGGTGTTATGCAGTTCTCGTTCATTTAAACAGATGGCGCTGCGTGATATTATAGGACAGTAATCTGAGGTATGATTTGTGTTCCATAATTATTTTGGCTATCTGTAACTAATTTTTAGATTTCTACATTATGAAAAATTATGAATATTCTTAATTGATGGATGACTCCTGAATTTCTAATTCTCAAATATTTTATATACATGCTACTTTATCTAACATATCTGGTTCGATAAAGTAGCAACCAAAATTATTGTAGTAAGCTATAAATGATCAGCAGTGGTAACGTTACAAAGGCATTTAACATTCATAGTATTGCAGGAGATAGATCATTCATCAGCATATTACTTTAGACATAAATTCAGGTTGCTTACTAAAATTAGATATTGATTAGCTCCGCTGCTTATCAAGCGAGTCTTACTTGACTGTAGTAATCTGAATGACCTCTAAAAATCAACCTTAAATTCGTATCATGGTGGCCTGTAGGTTAAGACGCTAGCTTCTCATGCATGGGGTGGGTAAGTACCAATGCGACTTCTTCCGAATTATATGTACTTTCTAAGATTAAGATGATTAGAGACCACTGACAAACGTGAGGAAACCTGCACTTAAAATTTCTAAATATAAGTTTGATATCGCCAACCCGCAATGAGCAAGCGTGGTGATTAATGCTAGTAGTATTAATTTTACTGGATTTTGCAAATCAAGTCAAGTCTGATATAATGATGCCTGGTACTGAAGTGGTTATACTTTATTACAATTTGCATTATGTCAGTTTCATTGTAGGTTTTAGTGTAGGATAACTGTGCCTTTAGCCAAGCGCCACTTTAGCGCTTGTCTACCGAGAGAGTAGAAAACTAAATGTAGGAGGATGACACTGACAAGTATCAAAATTTATGTCAATCCCGTATAATTTGGTTTTTTATTCTACGTGTAGACAAGCGCTAAATGGCATTTGGCTACAGCTGCTGAGATGCCTATTTGATCTCCTAACTGCAGACGTATCGATCCCTAAATAAAAATGGGATTTTCGATTTCAAATTCTCAATAACTTGCCTTTCTTATCAGTTACATAAGTTTAATGATATTTGTGAATCTGAAATGATATAGGTAAATAAAAGAAGTTGAAAACGTGTTGCATATAATTATAATTATGGTTAGCGATACATCTGTCTACGTTATGTTTGGTAACTACATTATCTATTCGTCCTAATAATAAATAAATAAATAACTTATCACTAACACTTAATTATATTTACAATTGCGCGAGCTTAAACATAGCATTCAAAAATAAATACAGATTTAAAAAACAGTCCAAGTTTTGTACGAAAAACAGGAAAATAATAGAACAGAAAAATCTGCCAATTAACTATCGGTGGACTTTCTTTGTTTTCGACATCAGACTAGCAGGGTGGATACTGAATGGACGCTTAATTAGACTGAATGGCAACTGCGAGTCGTCGACTTTATTTTAATTTTTAATTTTCATTACCGACTTCGTTTTTATATTCTTCTCCATCAACATGATCATCATCATCAACTTCAAAATTAAATTCGACATTTAAAGATTCCATGCCAAAACCAAAGTAGCCCTGTTGGTATCGTTTTGTCCCGGAATCGGTTCGTCTTTCTGTTTGTCACAGTCGATTATCTTTTCAAATATTTGAAGTCGGTGTCCTTGGTCCATGTCTAATATCCTCCTTTCTGTAGTCCCATGACTGCTGCAAATAATGCAAAGAAAAATCCTGCTAAACCTGTAGCACCTATTAACAGAATCAGCCCCGCGATCATCACTGGTACCAGAGCGAAGTACTTCATCTTATAAGCCAGTAGCAGAGGAAGCATGTATTTCTTGAGTTTCTTAGGCTTAATCTTCTTTCTCTTGTTCTTGTGCCTCTCTTCTCCTTCTCCTTTGATACTAGTTAAATCTTCTTCTTCTTCATAATCTCTGTCATCGTCTTCGAATTCGTCTTCTGCGTCGTCATCGCCCATTATGTCTGGAAATTGAGAAAATTTTTGGTTAGTGACATCATCAAGACTATAGAAACCTAAATTAGAAGGTAAAAATTTCAATTCAATTTAATCTTATTTTAGATCTCAAAGAATTGGTAATTAATTATATGACAAAGTAAACAATTGATTTTCGGGAAGCCGTGGGAATTACAAAGGAGTAAAAATGTCCTTAGATGGTCCATAACTCAGTCCAATACGTCTGATGTTGCAAATGCAGGCTATGTGGCTATGAATTGCAACCTTTGCAAGAAAGCTACATTTAAAAGTAGTAAGTAAAAATCTCCACATTGTGGAAAACAATTTTCCAAGAAATATAAAAAAAATTCTTCAGCAACATCTATAATTATCACTTCTAATTTTATTGTTATATCTTACATCAGCCTATCAGGCTAACAACCTATGATGATTGCGTGATACGTCTGATGTGACAAGATTACGTGTGTGCGTGTGGCGATGAATAACATAATGGTTGCTAATCTCAGCGTTAGGAACAAATTAATATCTTTATCATTGTAAATTGACGCACATTCTTTTAGTGAGAGTTAAATACGTACATTGTTAGTTGATACTTGGATTTTGTGATGGGAAAATGGTTTTAGTATTTTTTTTATTATATTTTTTAATGTGTTTTACATTGCATGAATATTTTAAAGAACTGTGGTTGTCACTCATTGATTCCCGTTAGTTTATGCACAGGTTTTTTTTCATAAAGATTATTGATTACTTTTTTAACATAATACAACATCACGCCTTTTGTCCCCGAAGGGGTAGGTGGAGATGCAAATTACGGCACTTAACTCGTCGAGTACCTGTTTTGTAGACTCAATTATAGAACAATAGGTTGCGGTCACCGGTGACCGCTTGGTGTTTGACAGTTTAATGTCATTTTACAATGTAACACCCACATTTCATTATTATGTTATATGAGTCCCATGTAATAGGGGGTGAGCCTATTGCTATATACCGGGCGCAAGACTCGGTGCTACAACTGGTTTTTTTTTAATCCCATTAATACTTTGCCGGGAATCGAACCCGAGACTCCTTGCGTGGTAGTCGCACTTGCGACCACTAGGCGAACGAAGTCGCTAGTGTACTTTTCTTTACAATTAATTTATTTAAAATCGACTGCCTCGTTGGTAGTTCGCATTAGCTTCTATTACCTATATGGTTAATTATAGTAATTTAAACTATAATCGTAGTAGTTGACAAACCGACAATTAACAAGTTTGAATTAACATACAATTACGATCAATATCGTTAATCATTACAGTGTGAATAACTGACAAAGATAATAAATTATTGCACCAATCAGATATGAAATGTGTATTAAACCTTAAAATAGTCTTTTTATCCGCGATATTAATGACATGTGTTGTTCTGTAATCGTGCTGAAATTATTTCCTTATTATGTTTCTAATAAATTACTTAGTCATTGAAAACCCACAGAATTTCATTTTTGTCCATAGAGGCCACATTTACTTTGAAAGTTTGTCGGTCTCGTGGTCTCTAGGGATACTACACAGGTTGATGGATCGAACCTTGATAGAGATTGACACAATAATATCATAAGAATAAGATTCGATTCATAATTACGATTATTTTTAAATCAGTCAGAAAACTTTAGAATTATTATAAATTACGACTTCACAATATACTTGTATAAAAATCTCCAGTGATGGTTTTGAAACATATTTTGTAATTATTTTAATTGAAGATTTATTACCAAACTTGTACAAAGAATAATAATTATTTATATTAATTATTTTCTGGCAATAGTTACTTTTGATGGGCATTTATCTTATAAGATTGTAATACTATCCACATATATAGAATATATTTAAATTTCAAACTTAGTCTAACCCGTGATTACCCATATGATTGTGATCACTTTATCAATAAGGTAATCACCAAATATTAACTCAATATATTATCAAAACTCCTCCTAAAAACCTCTTACTTATCACAAATCAATCACAAACTCTCAACTCAAATTCCCCTCTGAATAAAATTAGTCCCTTTCCATCAGTCCACTGCACTTACTGCTCACCCAATAATAGAGAAACGGTCGTAATGATACCACTATCATTACCCACCGTTACAAATTCACCGTCGACTGAATACAAATATACAATATTGGATCAGAAAATCCAGTTTTTGATGAATACACCCACCACTAAGTAAAATAGATGTTGTGAAAATCTGTATTGATTATGATTGTAGCAACTTTAGAAAAAAATTAAGAATGCAAAAATATTCAAAAATGACCAATGAAATGAAATGGTGAAATGATATTTATTTCGCAAATGGGTTCTTTCAATTACTAGATAAGGGCCGGCAGTTCTTAACTGACTACTCTGAGAAGAAAAATGCCGAAACAAACTAAGATAATATCTTCAGTAATCCATGACCAAGAAATAATAAAAATCTAAAATTAAATTTACGACCACGATATCACAGAAAACCGACGTGAAACAACGCTTGCGCTGTGTTTCGTCATGTGAGTGAGGATACCGGAAGCCCAATTACCCTCCTCTTCCCCAATTTCCCAGATAGAATTCTAGACTGTGTATTATAAAAGAGGAACTTTTGAAAAGCCCTAATAGAAGACATCAATAAAAACATCATCACCAACAGCCTTTAAATGCCTCATCAACAGCCTATGAATGCCCACTGCTGAGCAAAGCCTCTTCTCACACTGAGAAGGTTAGAGCGTTAATCACCACGCTTGCTCAATGCGGGTTGGTGATTTCAAACTTATAAGAAATTATAAGTCCAGGTTTCCTCCCGCTAATTTCCATCACCACTTTTCAGCAGTGTCTGGGTAAACTAAGAAAAAAAAAAAGATAGATACACAGAACAGACCCAGGCACTTTAAGACAAATATCTTCTAAGAATAAAAAAAATGGTCCTTCTATCCTTACCTACCATGCGGCTCACCTAACTAGCAATAACTCTCACTGAACTGAATTTCATCAATATTGTAACTAGCAATCGTTTCCGCTTGTTGGCTTCACTACAAATAGATACATATTGTAACCGTAACTCGATACGTTACGTTACGGGTTTTCATTGCAGACTCAGAAGGGGGCGTGGTAAGGAAAAGAAAAGTTATGATGATGACTTTGAAATCTACAAAAAACAGTTGTTGGAGGTTTTGATTGTCGAGGGCGCTTGATCAAATCTATTTAGATAAATAAAATTGGAATAATTATTTGTAGTATTAAAATACTACATGCATATGAATATACATACGATAAACGTACCAAAATATATATTTTGTCGCAATGTTTGTCTGT